AAATTAAAATTCACTAATATCTACTCACCACTATGCCAATGGAGGGGTGGGTGAAGTGTTTGAGTCTACAATAGGAGTCTCAAGGGTAAACAGTGTTGCAGCCGAATCCAATACAATTGAAGCAACTGGTGACTCCTTCTTCAGACGTTCTAAAACAACAGAAAAAGCATAACATGCCTCCACACTCCTCATGTGGTGTGGTGTCTTCAAGCCCCGACACTCATATATGGGCACACCATCGTGTGGCTACAGCTTTGTTACTTCTAGTTTTGGACATTTAGGCTTTAAACGTGGTGTAAATGACCTCATTTTGAAGCTTGGATGACACCACACCAGCAGTATGGAGGCATGTGTCATGACCCGGCTCAGAAGCTGTGACAAAAGAGAGGGAGATGCTGAGTGAAAATCATTTATTCAAATACAATTAGCAGACAACGAACATAACAGAACCTTAGGAGATAGTGAGGTGTGTTAATAAGTCAGATCAGTTGTGAATGTGAATGAAATTATTTGCTATTCTGTGACAAAAATTTAACAATCTTTGATAAAAATAAATGACACCAATATCATGTTTGTGTAGTTGCAGAAACAAATTCTTAGCTGTTACTCACTCTGGCATTATTATTTGTACATAGACTTCTCCTATATTACATGGATAAACTACAGGTGGTTTCGTCATTTTCTTATGTCTAAAAAGTCTGTCTTAATATGTTCTATGTTTATTGCCTCAAATTTCAAATGTGCGTGAACCATGGATGCAGAAAGCTGCATCCCCCTCATTGACTCCAAAACCCATTCTTCAGTGGATAACAGGGAAAGGCCATTTTCCTTTTCTTCAGGAAGTGAAGAGCAGATTAAATGCAAATGCAAAGTTTATTTATGAATGCAAGCCCCAGTGTGGGAACATAGGGATAGGCTGTCCATCTGTTTTGGCTTGCATATCACCATGTTAAACACAAAGATTGTTAATCGTTGTCCTGGTGGAGGCAGTCTACCTGGGTCAGGGGATTTAAATAATAGTTTAAATTAGTTTAAATATAGCCCCCGTCAGTTCTCCACTGCATGAACTCCTTCGCCTTTCGAATCAGCACTGTCTCTGGCACCGCAGCAGCGGTGTAAACAACATTGTGCAAACAAATCTGTGGTATCAAAACAGTCTTTCTTCATTCAGGTGGCTTCCTCAGACCAACTGGCACTATCCTGACAGCTGGTTTTGTTCTGCAGATCCTTAGTCTAGGTGCTGGGGCTAGAGTTAAGAAAATATGTTCTGATTATCTAAGGTGTGAACATGTTGCTGCTTTCAATGCTCCCGGGATTCTTTAATAGACTTGGTCCAGCACGTTATTTTCCCTGCTTGGGAAATTCACATTTTTAAGAAGTTTGAGCATGACTAGTTTGAGATCTGCATGATTGAAGTCCCCTGCAACGATGATAATGCTATCTGGGTGAGTGCTTAGCTGTTTTTTGATGACATCATGCAGCTTTTAAAGAGCTACCTGAACCGTAGCTTTTGAGGAAATGTGGCGAAGATGGCGAAGAGCGCTAGTCTGCTTGGGTTAGTCTAATGCGTAGCCCGACTCGCTTCCCATGCTACTGTTCCCTCTCCCTCCCCTACCTCTGGTGTCTGGGGTGCATAGGATCTCTGGGGGAATACTGAACCCCATGTTGTGATTACTGATGGAAAGTAGCTGGTGCCGATTATACCTGAAAAAAGTGCTACTGTAGGAAAATGCAGGAAATAAGCAAACAAAAACTAGGAAAAAAAGAGAGAGAGCCGAGCAGCTGGATCTGCTCATTTGACACCATATTGACATTTGTACATGTAGTATGAACAATGACGGAAAGAGTCCTGATCACAAGACAGCAAGAGGAGTCTGAACTAATATAAACTGAATCCTTAAAGCATGTAGGGTTTGAATGCGATCAAAAGTGTGATGTTTTGGTACAAACCAACTTTGTTTTTTCTTCTGTCAATTTGAGTTAATTTCTATTATTTGGATTTCATTTGTCTGTGTCTTTGTGTGTTGATATATATGTATATATATGTATTCTAAAGAAACAAAAAAATACAAACATATATGCGCAGCTGTGCCTTAGCAGTAGAGCAACTGTCCTCCAACTACAAGGTCAGTAGTTGAATCCCAGTCTTCCCATCTGCATGCCGAAGTGTCCTTGGGCAAGATGCTGAACCCTGAATGGCCCCTCATAGAAAAAAGTGCTGCTAAGAGATGCGCTGTATGAATGTGTGTGTGAATGGATGAATTGCAAACTGTACTGTAAAGTGCTTTAAGCGGTCATCAAGACTAGAAAAGAGATATATAAATCAAAACATTTATATGACTACACAAATATAGTTTTTTTTTTTTTTACAAATTATGAAAAACATAACCAAGAAAAAAGACAAAATTAATTATTAGGTATTAATGTGTCTGTGTGTGTGTTATAAGGAGGGTTATAGCAGAAGCAGCTGAATTGGTCAATGATGGTTTAGATGTTTGTCTTACAGATCATTGAAAAATACAATGTGAACATGTTGTGGTGTTCAACATGAATTGTTTAGAGCATTTTAATTCACCAGCACGAAATTACTTTCAGATTAAAATACAGTCACAGTGACCTTTGACCACCAAATTCTAATCAGGTCATCCATGAGGAAGTTAATTTTGCAAGATATAATTAAATATAATCAAATATAATTAAAGACATTTTCTCAAGCTGATCTTAAGATATCATGTTCAAGAAAAACAACAATGTGAGGACACCATGACTTTGACCTTTGGCTACAAAAATGCAAGTTCAATTGGATGTTTGTGCCAAATGTGAAAACATTTCTTGCAGGAGTTCTGGTAATATTGCATTCACAAGGCAAAAAAATGTGCTTTGTGAGGTCACTGTGACATTGACTGTTGGTGCAGGTGTCCAAAATATTTAAACAAAGTCATATCGAACTTATAAAAAATAAGAAAAGAGCACTTGATACTCTATTCTTCTGATGAGCTGGCTGTTGATTTAGACAAACAATAAGAACTAACTAAGTGCATAAGAAAAGTAGTAATCTAAGAAAAAAGGAGGGTTCTGGAGGACAAATAATAATTATAAATTGTTTAATTAGGTAACCCCCTCCACCATGACCGAATGAACATTTATTGTATAGAAATAAAAGTAAAAGAACGATGTAAGACAGAAGGTAAATTAGACAAATTAGGGTTTTTACTATTGGGAATCATTGATGGATCAATAGACAACATTAAAAGAAAATTTCACAACAATATATTGTAACTATTTCTAACATTAATAAAACGTGTGCAGCCATATGTCAAAGGAAATAAAACATTTCTAGTTGCAGTGCATTTATATTGCAACTGTATAGTTGCATGCTTGATAAATATCTCAGCCCTAATTTTCAATTTAGCTTTCTTTAAGTCTTTAATAAGCGAAGGAATTTAAACAAATTTCCTAAAAGTTATTAGAAAACAATATTGAACAAATTGCAAAAAGTTTGAACAATATTCTCCCTTTGTGCTTTTTTTTCTTCAGAATGTTTGTTTTATTGCCTCTGTCTGATGCAAGCACCCTCTCTGAGATTGGAGAGGAGGTAAAGTAAAGAACTCTTTTGTTCTTTTTTTGGCTGTATAGTATTCTATTAAACAGCTCATTTGGCTGGAGAGGTGGTATGGTTGGACCAAGTACGGATACAGAAAACTCAAAAGAACAAATCAACCGTCTCCGTTTTAATGGAGGCCGATGTCATACACAGAAAGGCAGTCCGCAATGCAAAGGTTACAGAGAATACACAGATAAAAATCACAAAACCCAAAAACAAGCAAAAAGTTAAAAAACGAAGACAAGGCAGCAACACTAACAGGACAAAAAACAGGCAATGGTCATACACAGGAGGCTACATGAGGAATAGAATGAGAATGTGGGTCCTGAAAGTTTTGGCATCCATTGGTTGCGGGAGCTGCTCATTAATTGGTTCTTGCAGATTATCCTCGGGATCAAAGACATAGACGGATTACCGCATGGGCAAAGTGGGCGTGTGCCCAGGGCCCCAGAGCCAATAGCGGTCCTTGGCCTTCAGAGTTGTTGGTTTTTTTTGGGGTAAAATTTAAAAAAAAATATTAGAATGAATGTGGTTTGAAAAATGTAGTATGATAATAAAATCATTCGAATGTTTTAGAAATTATAAGATTAATCAGTAATGTTTGATGACACAATGACGTGGGGGTTGCGTTTTTAAAATGGAGAAGCAGGCGCTCAGTGGATCAACTAAAAGAAAACAAATGAAGGAAAAGAAGCGAAAGATGCCGCTTTGGTGCAGCATATTCCATCCATTCTGACTCGATTCCAACTGACAAGTTTACAGCTCCAAAAAGTGGACATAGAGCTCATGACAGCTGTGCGCCTTATATTGCTGCGTGATTTTGCATCAGCACAGAGAGGTCTTTTCACAGACTTTGAAAATGAAGCCTTAGCTGTGCCAGGCGTGTGCCAGGCGTGTGCCAGGCATGTGCCAGGCATGTGCCAGGCATGTGCCAGGTGTGTGCCAGGATGATTTGAGGATGACAGCGCAGAAAAAGATGCGGTATTTGATGGGAAAAGCAAATTACAAATAGAAACATTCAATGTGGCTATCGATAAGTTGGTCAGCTGTCTCAGCCACAGAATCGATGCATACAAGCACCTGTGTGATCTGTTTGGATGACAGTAATTTTGTGTGCGCGTTGCCTAGTGTTGTTATGTGCGTAATGGGAAGAGCGCCTCTGCACGCGCACTGTTTGCGTGTGTAGGCAGGAGCCTGTGGCGAGTTTGTGTCCAGGGCCAGAGGTCATGATAATCCGTCTATGGACAAAGACCTTGGCCAGATTTTCTCTCATTAATTTGGATTTTTAACATTTCAGGTCTCTTTTTTTGTCATTCTGAAAATGAAACAACTCTCTCTCCCTCTTTCACTATCTATCTATCTATCTATCTATCTCTCTATCTATCTATCTATTTAGACCATTCCAAAGACCCTGGATCGTATTGCACCTGCCTTTTCTTTCAACAGCTGCAACTATTTGGTAATAATAAAAAATTATAAATTTTGTTATCATCATGTCTTATCACCACCACCATTATCATCATTATAACAGTTAGTCTTATCTATTTTTCCTTATTATTTATACTATACAGGCTTTATTTATTTTCTTGTCACAAAATAAATTATGTCATATTGAAACTATGTATTTTTGTCAGGTGGAGAAGTCTCGCTCTGCCACAGCCAGGGTGGTTGTCTGGAGGGAGATGGGTGTGCTAAGAAGTTACACAATGGAGAGTACTTACAATGGTTGTGACCAGGGAATATACAAGGTGTGTATGTATTTAAGATTGTGTGAAATCAGTCCAAAGAGACTTTATAAGGTGGACTGGAAGACAAAGGAAACATGTTTATGAGCTTGTTTCTGTGACGTATAATTGTGCACAAAATTTTAAAGCAGGATGCTATTTGTCAAACAAATCAAGAGTAGGGGTTATGATATCACATTTACTACAGTTAATCAGTAAACTCAGTGGGCCTAAAGCCTAAACTAGAGACCTTACATTAAAATTTGTATAATATTTGGAATTGAATTAAAACAATTTTTAACATGACAGTAACAATGCATTTTCAGGAATATAAACACAGTTTTTAACCAATTCATTAAATATAATTATGATGAATATTTTTAAATCAATCAAGAAAAAAGAAAGGTTAATATGCTAGAATTAAATCCCGCTTTCAGTAACTTATTATAGCACATCTCAGCCTTAATGTTTATTTCAATGTAACGTTAATCCTGACCATAGAAACGTCTTCCCTGCACTAAAAACTTTATAACATTTGCAAACTTTGCGTCTTGACAACTTTTTAAACTTCATATGAGTCCCACATATGTTGTTACAGAAGTAACAAGTGTTACTAGTCATACTCATTCTGACTGTTTGAATTCTTGTTTTGACAGTGTGAATAGCGATTTTCCTGAAACGCTTGTCATAGCGATACAATTACATTTTCATTTGCTACTGGATTAAAATAAAAATAGTGAGACCAGTCCAATCTGTTGTCTAGGTGCACCATCTCAAAGTCTTTTCCTGTTTTTTTGACTAGCTGGAAGGGGGCTTTTGTAATGCAGAAGTTAACAACCATCTCCTTAGTCTTGGAGGTGTTTAGTACAGGGCAGATTTTTATGTTCCAGTCACTTAAGGCCCTGGGTCTCTGTACTCCCTCTCCTACCCATTTCTAATGCACGTCACATTAGCAGTCTCATCTGTGTTTTTCTGTACATGGCAGAGTTGTATTTAAAGTCTGCTGTATACAGTGTACACAGGAACAATGATAGAACAGTGGCCTGTGAAGCCCCTGTGCTACTTACCACCATCCCAGAAACACAATTTCCCAGCATGGTATATTATGGTTGTCTCATCAGGTAAGTACTGATCCAGGATATATAGGTGGGCTCTACTACCAACCCATCAACTGTATCTCTTAGTACACAGGGTTGGATGGTGTTAAATGCATTGAGTCCTTGAGTAGACATGGACACACACCATCCAGGCTGACTGCCTTCCCAGGACACACCCTCCTTAGCTCTGGCCTCACGTCGTCTGTTGTAAACACAGGGTTGCAACGGTGTGGGGGAGGATGAGGATGATGGGATAGTTATTGGAGAGCAAACAACTGTGGCTGCATCCACAGGGGCAGGGCAGACACCAGCTGTAGAATCAGTTGAACTCATTAGCCCTGTCCTTATCTATATCTCCTGCCGTTTCATAGTCAGTAATGGTCCTCATTCCGCTCCATATCTCTCTTGTGTTGTGATGCTGCAGTTTTCTCTCAACCTTGAATTTGTTCCTACCTTTGCCTGCTTTCCTCTTCATCTCATGTTGCACAACCTATAACTCCTCCCTGTCTTCACTCCTAAAAGCCTCTTGTGGTTGTGGAGTGTCTGGATGTTGCAGGTGATTCAATAGTTATTATAGCCTCAGTGTACCCTAGAGTTCGGCCTGTATCGTTGATTACAAGACCAAAACACCTGAAAATATCTCTCACAAATAAAAGGTAGAGGTGCTGACATTACAAAGTAACTCCTCAACTGAAAATATCTCTCACTGGTAATTAGCCAGTGGAAAACAATACTAAAGAACTAAACTAAAAATGTGAATCACTGTTAGAAGTGAAGACACACTGATGTGGCGGTGTGGAGCCGAGCCATAGGTCTATACCAGAAAATATAGGTGGCCATGGGGGAGTAACCCTGGCAAAAAGAATGCGCACATAGGGTCTAGCAGGGGCAACTACACAGACATGTGCAAGTTAGTCCATATCAGAAGCACTTACACCTTCCAGTACATGCCTTGGTGCACCCACATTTGGTCAACTCCCAACAACTCTCTGCAATAGGTGGAAGAGGAGTCCAAAAGATTTTCCACTCCTCCTTGTTTCATCCATCCCCAGTCGGATGGGCTTGGCATTTCCGGTTGTTGCTTAAATGCCTGTCCCCACACATATCCAGCTTCATCAGATGCACGTTTGGCATGCTCCTTGAGTGCTGCTTGAGTTAGTGGGATCCGGTCCTATGGTCTTTGTTTTTCTGGCAAAGAGATCAAGCCTTGCCTCATTCACAGTATTGACATCGCTGGATCTGTCATACATTAGCACAACAAATCTCTCCAAAGCTTGCAGGTCGCTGTCATCCACTGCAGAGTGGCATTCACAGAGTTTTGCAAATGTGTTTGAGACCTCATCACACACGTCCGATGTTTTCCAGGCCGACTTCTTTGAGTTTCCATGGAAGGCTGACACAACATCACAACCACTGAAGGCATGGAAGAAGAGGATACCATGCGTTTTCTCTGGTCCTATGGCTGAAACCACCTCATGTATTGGAATCCATCTCGTCTTCTCGTCGTTGCCGAAAGTCATCCACATTTTCTCAAGGCCAAGGTGCATCAAAGAGGGCACAACAGAAGTGGCTATGACTACAATATCTGTGTCATTGGCATCGATCATCACAGATTTGTGTCCTTCATTTACTGCATGCTGGACATGTAGGAAAATACCGATCCATCCACTATGAGGACATCTGATTCTGGCTTTTTTTCCGGCATGCCACTTTTGCTTGTAGGATATCAGACAGGTATGATTTGGTGCATGTGCGGAGTTTCCCTTGATCACTGAGAGAGGCGGGAGCTGATTGGTTCTCATGCATGAAAAACTCTTCCAAGTCACACTGCCGGTTCTGGCAAGAGATAAATAGTCTTTCTGATGGGCTGGTAGAAAGAGCACTGACCGCCAACACACTGTAGATCTGTCATGAAAGACTTAAACTGTTCCCTGCCTTGTTTGAGATGTACTTTGATCATCTCAGCTGAACTGGCATCAGCAATGTATTTCGTGTCCAACATTAGCAGATCATCTGATCCATGAAAGGATTTCCTATTTCCCGCATCACTGATGTGAGCCATTTCACTTTCTCAAAAAATGCTTTTTGAGCAGCCTCGGTTTGTTCATGGTGCGATTTCCTTTCTTTACATCTTTAGCTCCTGACACTGCTTCATAGTTTGCAACTAGACGGCTCACCTCTGGACCTGCTAACATCCATCTTCTCAGTGCCGATGGGTTCTCTGTCAGCCCAACTGCTCCCCCATCACCTTTTATTACAGCATTGTTTTGTTCATGGGCCTGATCAATTGCAACTGCAGCTGATTTGTGTACTACAAAGTTCCCATTGTGAAACTCTCTTGCTACTTCTGGATGTTGCTCCTCAATGCGCATCATGTCTCGGAGGTGTACTGGAATCCATTGGGCATAGTGAACGTTGTTGTTTACAAAAAAGTATGGTACGAGTTCACGCAGGGACTCACGATACAGTCTGAAGTCAGCTTCTCGAAATGATCTGATAAGGATAAGAATAGCTCCATCCTATAAATGAGAAAACCAGGACTTGAATTGTGGGCTCTTTTGCTCTGTGCACCACACTTTAAAACAGGTGTTAGTTTTGTCAGGTGTCTCTTCTCTGTAGGCATTGTATGCATCCTTCATGAGCTGGTACTGACTGCATACTGTTATCTGATGTGCTTGGCATGTTCGAGTTACACTTGATGCTGAAAGAAATGAATCTACTGTAACAGGTGAAGCTAGCCCAGCTTCAACAAGGGCACTAGTCCATCCGCTCTCTTTGAGTAGTGTACCGATTAATTTCAATGCTGTCATTTCAATATGCAGACCTCCAAACATGATCACGAATTTGTCCTCTCCATATTGTTCTGGCCAGTGGCACTGAATCTGTTTTGCAAGAGCATAGAGTGGCTGGTCAGCAGTTATGACAGGCATCTGTCCTGGATTCAGGAATGCCACTGTATCACTAACTTTGTCCATGACATGCTTTACTGTTGCGAGAGAGTGGGCTTGGTCTCGGAGGAGGGGAGCAGTGATGTAATGCTGACTTTAAAATCCAGAATCCTCCGTTTGGATGCATGAAGCACAAAGCTTGTGATGTCTGGGATCTTCTTGGTCTCTTGACATTATCTTGGGTATCTTGTTTGTCACCAGTAGAAGCTGCTCTCTTTTGGGCCCTATCCAACTTTGTGTCGTTGAACAAGAATTTACAGCTTTGAGGATATTTTGCCTTGTTTCTTGTCAACGTGCTTTCAATGCCATCATCCTCATCTACTCGGGCTGGATTGAGTCCAATGGGCAGAGCATTGATCTCAGCAAACAATGGAACATTTCTTGCAATGTTAACATTACCAATCTGATCAAGTTCACTGTTGAATAAAGTTTTTCCTTTGTGTACTGCTGACAATTACAACATCTGTCCCAGTTGGTTTTCTGAACTGTTATAATAACCTCTGCCATGTCTCTCCCGCGCTGGCACAACCTGTCAATTCGGGTGCGGCTATCTAACTGATTTGGGGTAAATTAGATAACATTTGGGATACTAACTTTCAACTAAAACATTTTTAAAGAAATTTTGAGTGTGCCTGACTCTGTTGTTACTGTCATCTTGAAAAATTACCACCAACTTTCAAGAAATTTCAAGTGGCTGGGACAATTTTCTTGTCAAGTGACCCATGGAGACTGCCCATGCCAATTTTCATGCTTGTATCACCAAATGCACGATTCTGCCTAAAATCAGCTGTGAGCCGCTCCACTAAACTTCCTGAGTGGCCGTAAAGCTTCAGGCTGCCTCTGTACTCAGGGTTTGTTTTCCAAGAGGTAGCACTGATGTGCTGCAAGCTTCCTTTGTGTTTACATAAAGTAGATTTCCCTTGTGGGACAGTCAACATCCTCTGTGAAGCTGGTCAGATGGGAGGCAAGGGTGACATGGTAGAAATCGCCTGATACAGCAATTAATGCATCAGGGTATTGGGTCTGTATTTTTGCAACCATCTCATGGATGATGTCATGCGCTTCTACAGTCCCTGCTAGTGGTGGAATGTAAACGGTGACGATCTGAGAGAACTCTCTTTGTACATAAAACAGTCTTAGACCGTTTGCCAAATACGCTGACAGCAGATCTTCTCCATCATAAAATGTTGGAGGTTGCGCCATCTACAGATCCAGTCCTCCACCTTTGCTCGTAACATGCATTCTCACATCTCTGTCTGCATGTACCATCAAGCAGCCAGGTAAGTTTACAATTGAGTGAGGGATGTTGTTGTCCAGCCAGCTCTCCATAAGACACATCAGAATTCTCTGACTTGTCGTTTCTCTACCACCATTCCCTCGAGCTTGTCAGGAAGAGAGTTGACAGTCCCATGATGATTGATAGTAGAAAAGGCTTGTATCTCCATCATCTAGCTTTTAGCCTGGCCTGACAGCCATGGCATTGCTCCTTCAACTCAACTGGAATGGGATGTTTCACTCTGTGACTGGTCCACCGAAAATAGCTGGAGTGGAGATACCAGGTATGATAGAAACCTACCACAAGGGGCTCTCCTGTTGATTGATTGAATGCATTTTTAAAAGACAATTTGTTTGATGAGTAAAGCTGTAATAAGAAATTAATATTGTGTGATTGTAGTATTGTATTGCATGAATTAGAGACAAGCAGATTGTGATGTGTTGACCGGGTATATGTAGGTTTGACAGGTGATTAGATGTGTGATTGAGGTGTGGCCCTGCTCCCAAACCTGAGCTTAATACTTAATATCATTGAATAATGGAACAAATGAGCAGATAAATTCAGTTTAACATATCTGCTGTAGATCTGGTAAAACAAGGATTCCTGTAAATTAGAGCGAGTTGACAAACCCTCCCTTTCCAAATAACAATGATTTTAAGTACTTATCTGAGTCCACATCCTGTCTAGGTGGAAAAGTTAGTGTGAGTGGTGAGGGATGAACAACTTATATTGATTTCAGTGATAATGGCTTTATTTACAAACCATAGGAGTTTGTGAATCCATTCATAGTTGCTGCAAATGTGTGTGTTTGTGTGTGTGCAGGGCCTGCAGACAGGAACCAAGGAGCTGCAGGAGATGGGCCTGAAATTCTGCCAAAGTCTGCTGTCTGTATCCAAAGACGTGACAGCTGTTTATGGCAGGAGACTCATCAACCACATTGACCTGGATCATAACATCCTTGACCACAAGTCTCACAAGTAAGACACCATCTTTAAAAGGCTTGTGATCTGTACAGTTTAGTAGAAAATGTCTTGATGGGCATAAAAGAAATGAGGACAATCGTTCAAAGTGAGAACATGGGATTAGGACTTAAGATCCCGGTTAGATTGAGTAATGCCTTACTGAAAGGAATATCTTCTCTCCACAGGTGGATATTGAATTAGGACAGTAGGACCTAAGAAGGTGATCCAGAAGGTGGTGCAGTGTGTGTTGTATTTGTAACTGTGCAAACTGTGGAGAACATAGTGGAATAGCTGAATGCTTACCTCTGCATCTCCCCAGGTTATAAAGAAGAGAGACAGTTTTTATTCAGAAAACCATTACATATTCATTTATTTTCCAACAGTGGCCCAGAGATCAGACCAAGGCATGAATCAGTAGCACACTGGTGCTGTTGATGTTAGCATCAGTTGAAACAACAAGCATTATGGGAAAAGTGTGTGTGTGTGTTTGTGGGAGTGTGTGCATCTACTGATTTACAATCCTTTCTGGAGGATTTTGACTGAGGTTTTGACTGATAAGATGGTTCCAATGTACACAGCAAGCCGTCTGTCAGCGTCTTGCTACCTCTGCCTTTTATTTGCTGCTGCATTGTTTCTATGTCTTTTTTTGCTGGGATGTGACTACTCTTTTCATTAATGAACATAAAGCTTTGCTGAAAATTCGTTGTGCATTGTGCCTTGGCGAGTGACCTTGATGTAGACATCTTAACTTCACCACCTGATCTTGGGCTTCGCTCCCGCCATCTTGGTGACAGAGAGTAGTGCGATCCCTGTTTTTTCGATGTGGCCCTGTATTACTCCCGGCCTAACAGCCACCACTGACCTGGTGGACGTGGCACCAATGACAGAGTTTCACAATCTTTGCACGCTGCGCCATACTTCAAATCTGGACAATATGGATCTAAGTCTTCACATGGCTCTGATTAATGCTAGGTCTCTAGCCAACAAAACATTTTCACCTCTGTGAGCTGGATTTTATGCTCTTGACCGAGACCTGGCTTCATATTGGTGAGTCCACAGCATGTCCATGTATATCATTTGCCTGTTTTATTCACGATTACAGTCCCTTGCTCTGTGGTCAAGCCTTCTCCTCCTGCACAGTTCCACCGTATAATTAAAAGTCAAACTCTGTTGCATTTCTCTGCTGTTTTTAAAGAGTCTATAACTTGGATGGAAGTGATGTTCTCAGTGCTGATGAGCGTATCCCTCTTTTTAACTCAACCTGCACTTTGGACTCTGCTGCTCCTTTGAGGATAAAACACACTAAAGCACACTCTGAGCCATGGTTAAATGACTCTACCCGCAATCTTAGACGTGCGTGTGGACAAGTTGAGAGAAGGTGGAAAAGGGACAAACTCCAACTATGAAATCCTACAGAGCTGTCTATCCGACAAAAAGCTGTAAAATCAACAAAAATTAAGGTTGTCTCTAATAACCATCATAGGCATCAAGTTCTTTTAAAATTTTTTAGTACTCTCACTAACCCCCATAATTCTACTCCTAATCTGTCTACATCTGTCTTCTGTGATTCTTTTACTACGCCCACTGACCATGACCCCCTATCCCTCCTATGCGCTCAGCTGTCTTGGATCAGATAGAGCCCATACCAATCTCCTTACTATCTGCGGTGGTCCACCATCTGCGGCCCACAAATTGCCCCTCTGATAGCATCCCGCTCATCTTCTTAAGGAAGTCTTTGACACTGTTAGCCCATATATTCTGTCACTGATAAACACCTGTCTTCTCTCTGGTTGTGTCCCAGCTGCCTTTAAACATGCTGTAGTGCAGCCCTTTATGAGGAAAGAAATCTTGATCCCTCTGTTCTCTCTAACTTCAGGCCCATTTCTAAACGGCCTTTCTTGTCCTAGAGAAAGTTGTTTTCACCCAGCTGCAAAATTTTTTAATCGACAATAATGTATATGAAAAGTTCCAGTCTGTTTTGAATTTCTACACCTGAATGGCTGGATGTAGGCACCCTTGGCCCTCTAGCTCTTAATATTCACTCCTCTGTGAAGAGTCTTTGTGTTTATCTTGACAGTGTTTTTAAGTTTGACATGCAGATTTCCTCCATTGTTCGGTGTAGCTTTTTTCAGTTGAGACTTATAGCTGAGGTAAAGACCTATTTCCCACCTAAAGATCTAGAGAGGGTGATCCAAGCCCTCATAACCTCTTGTCTTCAGACTCTTGTCTTAACCCTAAACCTCTTGACTTGCAATTCCCTGTATGTAGGGATAGACCAGACATCTATTAAACACCCACAGCTTGTCCAAGATGCTGCTGCTCGCCTCCTGACTAGAAAAAAAAACAGAGACCAAATTACACCTGTGCTCCCTCTGCTAAAATTTGATTGTTAACTTTTAAATCTCTAAATGGACTGGCACTGCCTTACTAACCTTCTCCATACACTCCAGTTAGAGAGCTGAGATCAGCCACTCAGCTCCTCCTGGACTAATCTAAAACAAGGCTCATAACCAGAGAAGATCGTGCCTTTGTAGTATCCACCTCAAACTTGTGGAACAGCTTACCACTCCACATTAGATCTGCCTCATCTCTAGCAAACTTCAAATCATTACTAAAAACACATCTGTTCTTCTTGGCCTGTCACACATGTGTGCACCAGTGTTTGGACCTCTCTATTTAGTTTGCTTGCATTTGGACCACTTGTTGGTGTTCCATGGAGTTATATTTGAATGCTATCAATGCATAACCTTTTGATTTGAGAGGTACCAATGGAAAATCTAAATGAAAGGACACCATATTTTAAAAAAATTCCAACCCAGGGATCGAGGTAGGAGGGAAGTAGGGTGGTACTGCTGTGGTAGGAGTTCAGCAAGCTGATGATCAGAATTCCTGAGACACAAAGACACAGGGTGAATACAGGGCAACAAAGAGCACAAGGCAAGCACGAGATAGCAACAAGGTGAGTCTGAGATACCACTGAGCGGAGAGTACGAACAGACGAGGAGTAGATGGTGAGCCAGGGTTGATATACTGCAGGGGTGATTGAATGATGAGGTGCCGGTGCGCCAGCTTCCGGACTCCAGGGCACGCCCATGGGACAAACCAACAGATAGACAAAACAGGGAGAAACCACAGGAGACACAAGGAAGGGGGAAACACAGGGAAAACACAGGGAAACATGCCACTGGAGGGAAGGGAACCATGACACACGGAGAAAGAAGTGAACAAGGATGGATATTTGTTCCTTTCTTGACTTAACTAAGGCCTAAAAATGTAAACAAGAACATATCACCCTCAAATCAAATGTGCATTGAGACTGATACATTCACTTGTGGATTTCATATTCTCTCAGTCTAGAGCAGTGGTTCCCAAACAGTGTGCCACGGAGGCAAGTCCGGGTGTGCCGTGGGATTTTGTGACAACCATACGTTATTATTGCAATAAACAACTGCTCAAAAATAATTATTTTTTAATTTACAATATCAGTACTTTGTATGCACTCATTTCATAATACAGAGGCAAACTCTATACCTAAAAACAATTATTTAAAAAAAAATGCTCAGAGAACCTCATATTTCGCAGTTAACACAGTTGCGCAGGTGTGAATTATAAGACCGTGACACATCATAGGCTGAAGGACAACATTTAAAAAAGAGAAACTCGCAAGAGGGAAAATAGAGCACTTTCTTGTGCGGAGTTAACCACCAACTGCAGAGACTGCCGACAACCCACCACCGAAGGACAGAGGAAAAAAACTGTCAGCAGACAGTATCATGAAAGTTACCTGTCCTATGACTTCAGTTGGACTGGGGATGTCAACAATCCTCAGCCCGAGTGCGCCGTCTGTCGGGAGAAGTTAGCTAATGCGAACATGGTTCCAAGCAAGCTAAAGAGGGACTTGGAAACCAAACATCTCTTCCATGTTGAGAGAAACTTGGCTTACTTCAAAAGAGCGCACGATCTGAACCAGAGGCAGCAAGACTGTTTGTTGGATTGTGTGAAAGTGTCTGAAAAGGCAATGGAGGCTAGTTACATGCTAGCGGAGCTCCTTGCAAAGCAGAAGAAACCTCACACAATAGCGGACAAACTCATCCTCCCAGCTTGCAAAAAAATTGTAGGTGTCATGCTGGGTCCAGATGCCACAAATGAGCTATCCAAAGTGCCGTCGTCTGATAATACAATCAAAAGAAGAATTGACGACATGTTAGAAGACATTGAGCAGCATTTGAAAGAGAAACTGCAGGCGAGCTGCAGATTTTCCATACAAATAGACGAATCCACCGACATAAGTGGGGCTGCCCAACTTCTGGCAAACGTCAGATATGTTGATGGTGACTCTATCAAAGAGACTTTTTTCTTCTGCAAAGAAATGGAAAGCCATACTATGGGAGAAGAAATATACAGGGTAACTAATAACTATTTAAAAGAGAACAGTCTGACCTGGAATATGTGCGTCAGTCTTTGCACAGATGGTGCGGCAAGCATGACGGGGAGAGTGAAAGGATTTATTGCTRAGGTAAAAGCACAAAACCCACATATTGTGACAGACCACTGCATTTTGCATCGAGAGGCATTAGTTGCCAAAACCATGCCCCCGGAGTTGACTGAGGTGCTGAATCAGGATGTGCAAGTGGTGAATTACATCAAATCTTGGCCCCTGAAATCTTGACTCTTCTCCCAGCTGTGCGCCGAGATGGGAGCCGACCACCAAAGCCTGATCCTCAACACAGAGGTACGTTGGCTGTCATGGGGGAACGTCCTATCCCGTCTTTTTGAGCTTCGGGAAGAGCTTTTGGAATTTTCACTTGAACACGCTGTCCCACATAAGGACAAGCTCGTGGATGAGAGGTAGTGCGCCAGGCTGGCTTACCTTGCAGACATATTTGGGGATCTCAATGAGTTAAACGCCAAGCTTCAGGGCAGGAATGAAAACATTTTATCATCCACAGACAAGATTCAGGGGTTTATGGGCAAACTTATCTTGTGAAAAACACGCATTCACACAAACACACATTTCAAATGGCCTATCATGGAAAAGAAAAGCTAACAAGGATGTATATTTTTTCCCTTTCTTGTGTTAATTTAGGCATAAAACATGAACCCTCAAATCCAATTTACAAATAGACTGATTCATTATTGAATTGATTGAGTGATACCACTAGTTTAAGATGAAGCATTGCATTTGCAAAAAAACAAATGGTACAAAAGAATATCGGACATTTGTGCACAATGAGGTTGAATAGATAACTGAACTGCCTTCACATTTAATATCTTGTGTTTTATTTTTGGAAAACACAAGGCAGAAGATCAAAGGTTCAAACATTTAATCACTCACAATTTCACAAGGGTCACAGTTTATGTGAAAAAAATGGTTTCATTGCAAATAAACTACTCCCTAAATGTAAACAACATCCTGGAGGAGTTTCAGTCTGGCTTTAGAGCCCATCACAGCACTGAAACTACAATTAAATTAGCATTGCGTTCATGCAGGACACAGAGTCATGTGCTCAGCTGTTAGCTACTGATAGGTTTACGGGTGCTTGCAGTCACCCACCAATTACAGCCCATTCAGAAGGACGAACAGAAGAAGAATGTCAGCTGCAATTCTCGCCTGGCAGCCCCAAAAAAATCCTCCTTATGAAAAAACTGGCCAGTGAGTAAATTACTCGAAGTGCCTCTAAAGCCACAAAAGAGGTCGGTCACTAAGAAGATTTTTTTCAGATGCGTGCATATGTTCCCTGTTTTATCTTAGCATGCTACTAGGCTAATCCAGGGAACATCCAAAGAATGGAGCCTTCAGCGCCAATTATAAGTGTATTCCCATTGTGCAATAAAAGGGTAAATCATGAAAAAGTGTTCCTGACTGAACTAGAATAATCAGCAACCTCAGCCTAAACTCTGAAAACAAGGTTTCAATTCTAATTCCTCCCTGACCTGAGTGCTTCTTTTAAAACGAATGACCACGACATCCTTATTGAAAAGCTGGTTGGTCTGTGTCTAGAACACTTAGTAAAAATGTCATTTAAAGATGTTTTTATGTTCTCTTCTTATTTAAATTACATTTTAACATGTTTTTATTTTTATCTATATTGTATGGAAAGCACCTCCTTTTCTTGTATGGAAGGTGCTATACAAATTAGGTTTATTATGATTAATGGACAATACTTTCCCACAACAACATTGTGACAACCACACCAGGCATCTACACAGGCAGCCACCACTTCTCTTGACGAGTGACTACCATCACAGTTGTTGTTGTTTGATGAGATAAATACATTTGATATATTTACCTATGAAATATGTGATATGTCATTACACATAAATGAGGTCAAGTACGAGTAAAGTCATGAGTCATTTGTATTAAAGTCCAAGTTGAGTTGTCATTTTTGATCATGTTGAGGGAAAGTCCGAAATCAACAAAATAGTGACCAGTGTCTGACTTGAGTCCAATCATGTGACCTGAAGCCACACCTCTGCAGTGCATGTTTTTACCATTTACAAGTTTATATTTTGACAAACTCATCCTACATACTTCATCAGATTGATTTAATATTTGGCTATTTTAATCAAATCGAACCCAATGTTAAATTGGCATAAATTCTACCTTTCAGTGAACAGTGTGGTGAAATGGCAAATTTTTGCCATGAAGTTATTGAAACTCACATATTGTCCACAAACTGCCCACAGCACTCAGAGAGATGCATTGTTTGTGTAAATATTGATGTTGTTGTTCTTTTTCACATTATTATTATTATTATTATTATTATTAATACTATTATTTATCTCATCTCAGTTGATGAATGGGCTGCATCATGGTAGGGACAGGATAACAAAGTACCACAACAATCAGATGTCTATTTTTACATTTAATAGGTCAAGCACTCCTTGGCCTGTTTGCCCTGATGGCACACTGTTGGATTTTCTTTTGTATTTACTTAACTTTCATTTATTTCTCGCAGGTGTTCTTTCAGTGATGAAGTTTGAGTCAATCATCCTTTACAACCGTTTGATTACAATTAGGCCTGTTGCTATGCATTCTCTGGTGGCATGAAGGTAAATTTAGGGAGACTGAATTCCAGGCAGGCTCAGTGGTCCTTGTTCCTCACGCGGTTTAACTCTCTCCTATAGCCCGAGGTCCTGCAATGTTAAGCCTGATGCCTTGTCTCGCCAATTCCTGAATGAAGAGGAGGAATCGGCTTCGGGTTCAGATACCATCCTTCCGTCCGATGGCCTGGTTGCTGCCCTCACCTGGGGGGTCAAGGAGAGAGTTAAAGCAGCCTTGGAGAACCCACCGGGGCCCAACGCCTGCCCTCCCGACCGTTTCTTCGTCCCGGCTGCTCTGCGGCCTGAGGTTCTCCAGTGGGCCCACAGCACACACCTCACCGGTCACCCGGGGATCCACCGGACCAAGGAAGTACTGCAGCGGAGGTTCTTGTGGGCCTCTCTGGACCAGGACACCCAGGAATTTGTCAAAGCCTGCCCGCCTGTAGCGAACACAAACCCTCCCATCAGGCCCCTGCTGGACTCCTGCAACCTCTCCCTGTTCCCCATTGCCCTTGTTCCCACATCTCTCTAGATTTTGTCACGGGTCTACCACCTTCTCAGGGCCATACCGTTGCGGATCGGTTAAGCAAGATGGCTCATTTCATTCCCCTGCCCAAGCTCCCCTCAGCTAAGGAAACGGCTGAACTGGTCCTCCAGTACGTCTTTCGCCTCCACAGCCTTCCTGTCGACATGGTGTCTGATCAACGACCCCAGTTCTTGTCTGTGTTCTAGAGGGCTTTCTGCACCCTCATTGGGGCCTCGGCTAGCCTGTCCTCTGGGTTCCACCCTCAGTCCAATGGGCAAAACGAGAGTAAGAACCAGGAGATGGAGGTGGCACTCAGCTGCATGGTCTCCAGTCGCCCCTCGTCCTGGTCACAGCAGCTGCTATGGGTGGAGTTCCCGCTACTCCTCCTGCTCTGCCTCCACGCCTCATTGATGGAGGTCCTGCCTACACCGTGCGAGGTCTGATCCTTTCCCGACGCTGTGGGAGGGGCATCCGCTATCTGGTCGACTGGGAGGGGTACAGGCCTGAAGAAAGGTCATGGGTTTCTGCCAGTTACATCCTGGGGCCCGTCTAATTGCTGACTTCCATCGGCAGCACCCAGACCAGCCCACTAAGGCTGCTGTCTCATCCAGGGTCCCTCGTCATAGTGCTCCTGCTGGGTCCACGCCCTCCGCTCCAGATGTGGAGGATTCCCTCTCTTTTTCAGGGGATTTTTCATCCCTCCCCCAGGCCCTCTCCGCCCCCCCTGCTGAGGGCATGGACTGTTTCTATTCTAGGTGCTCCTTCAGGCCCTTCCTCCTAGCCTGCATGCCGGCTTTTTGGGACATCAGGAGCAGTCCCTTGAGGGGGGATTCTGTAACAGTTCAGTCTCCCAGCCTCCCACTTCTCAGTACTTTTCCATGGTCTCCGCCTCTGCTTCATCTGCCTGCCAACACTCTCTCATCAAGCCAACACTCACCCGTGAACACAGCTGCTCCTCATCACCTGCAATCAGCCCAGCATATATTCAGAAGCTCCACTCTCAGTCCTTTGCCAGATTGCTCTATGCCTCTATGCAAGACAGTCCAGCATTCACCTCCAGACTGATTTTCTGTTGCCGACCCTGCCTGTCTCTGACTTGCCTGCCTCGTCTGAAACCTGGTAATCACCTCTGCCTTCCATCCCCGACCAAGTCTTTTGCCTTAGTGTCTTCAATATCGTCTGCCACCTCATCTGCTGTGAGCCAAAAATAAAGACTGTTACCAACTGTCCTACACTGTTTGTGTTGCATTTGGGTTCAAACCTCACCCTTTCACTTGTAGTCTAATAACATTAAAAGCAAAGATGGAGCTTATAATAATAGCAAAAGGATTGTATTGATGAGACATTAAAGGGATGAAGAAAAGGAAATAAAAGATGCGTCATGTGTGCCCCAACAATCTAGGCTTATAGCAGCATAACTAAGAGCTGGTCCAAGACACACCTGATCCCACCCTAGCTATAAATTTTAACACTTTTTAAGCCGACTCTCATACATTGAGATGGTGTCTGCCTAAACTGAAACTGGGAAATGATTCCACAGGAGAGGAGCTTGATAGCTGAAAGCTCTCACTGGCTCCCACTCTATTTATGGAAACTTTAGGGTCGACAAGTAAGGCTAAAATCTGCACAGTGCTCTAGTGGGGTGATATGGTACGATGAGCTATTTTAAGTATGATGGTGTCATATTATCAAGGGCTTTGTAGGTGAGGAGGAGAATTTTAAATTTGAACCCAGTGTAGTGAAGCTAATACAGGAGAAATGTGATCTCTTTTGCTGGTTCTTGTCAGGACACGTGCTGCAGAATTTTGGACAAGCTGCAGTCAAGACTGCCTCAGCCTGATAATATGGAATTAAAAAAGTTAAATCTAAAGCAAACAAAGTCATGGACAAATATTTCCACATCTTTTTGAGACAGGACGGGCCTGATTTTGCAAAGTTAAGCAGGCGAAAAAAGGATGTGAATCAAAGGACAAGTCCGGATGAATGATTACTCCCACATTCCTGGCTGATTACTTTCTTCCTGTTTTGTGTTTCCTGATAATGTTACCTTCTGGAAACACATACCAGGTAATTAAAATTGGCATGAGCAGGGAACCCTAAAGGTGTGTTCACACCAAACTCAGCGTGGCGCGTACATACAAAGTATGTATGTATACACACAAAGCCATTGTGGACAAAATATGTCACAGTCATGTAAAAAAAATGGCATAAAATGTAGCATTGTGGCAGGATTCACAACGCTTTTTACGTCACTATGTTTAGCAAGGAAAAGGGGTGTTAAATGCAGCGTTCTGTCGGCTCATGGAATGCCACTTTTTAGGGCATCTTGTATGACACTGGCGTAAAATGTTGCATTGTATTAATGACCACGCTCAGGGGTTTTCACTAAAATCAAACTTTAATCACCAGTAAAGAGGAAGGGCTGGCTAAAACAACTGAGCACTTATCGCTTTTAGCTGTTGATAACAACATCCATGGCCTATATTACCTGTTCTATATATATAATTAAATCAAAATCAAGCAGAGGAGTTACATATGAAACTGCACTTAATAACACAACCAAAAATAAATCAAAAGAAGATAATTAAATGTGGACTTGTATGCGTGAGATAATCACCATCCAAGGAAGTCTTAGTAAATTACATTATTGATTTACTTTCCCTCACTGAGACATAGCTGCATCCTGAAGAATATCAGCCTAAATTAATCTACTCCCCCTTTCCAAATAAATACTCCTTGAGGCTCTGGCCAAGGAGGTGGAGTTGAAGCTATGTTTAACTCCAGTTTATCAAATCATTCCAAAATTACACTTAAAACAAACAGAGCGATTACTGCAGCTGATTTTATGATTCATGTGGACAAGATAAGAGAGTCCTTTATTAGTCCTGCTATGGGGATCTTTACTGTCAATGTAACAACTGAGTAAAAATAGAATATAAACACAAGGAACTATAAAGCATAGAACTATGTACAAAGTAAACAAAACAGTAAAAACTATAAACAGGAAAACTAATTTG